CTGCATTTCAACCCATATTCACAATTCTCCAGCTAACCCTGACAGTGGTTTCTCTGTCAAATCCCCATTTTTCCATCGGTGGGGGAACACTAAATGACATTTCCATTTCATTTCCACCTGGGACAGAACGACGTGGAGCCCATCAGAACCCAGGTGCTTGGTACTGGAGTTAGGCCTGGCTTAACTTAGGCTGAGTTTCCCAGCCTGAGGAATGTGCTCTGCTCCAAAGGGCTGAGAATTCCTTCTGCTTCTCCTCCTACCAGGGAATTTGGGATCATCTCCTCCTGACAGGGAATTTGAGATCATCTCCTCCTAAAAGGGAATTTGGGATCATCTCCTCCTAACAGGGAATTTGGGATCATCTCCTCTTGCCAGGGAATTTGGAATCACCTCCTCCTAACAGGGAATTTGGGATCATCTCCTACTGGGGAATTTGGGATCATCTCCTCCTAAAAGGGAATTTGGGATCATCTTCTCCTGACAGGGAATTTGGAATCACCTCCTACTGGGGAATTTGGGATCATCTCATCCTGACAGGGAATTTGGGATCATCTTCTCCTGACAGGGAATTTGGGATCATCTCCTACTGGGGAATTTGGGATCATTTCATCCTGCCAGGGAATTTGGGATCATCTCCTCCTAAAAGGGAATTTGGAATCACCTCCTGCCAGGGAATTTGGGATCATCTCCTCTTGCCAGGGAATTTGGGATCATCTCCTCCTGATAGGGAATTTGGGATCACCTCCTGCCAGGGAATTTGGGATCATCTCCTACTGGGGAATTTGGGATCATTTCATCCTGACAGGGAATTTGGGATCATTTCATCCTGACAGGGAATTTGGGATCATCTCCTCTTGCCAGGGAATTTGGGATCATCTCCTCCTGACAGGGAATTTGGGATCATCTCCTCCTGATAGGGAATTTGGGATCATCTCCTCCTACCAGAGAATTTGGAGTCACCTCCTCCTGCCAGGGAATTTGGGATCACCTCCTCCTTCGAGCTCATCCTCCCGCTGTTCCCTGGGAATTTGGACTCCTGGAGGAGGCAGGACACGCTGTTTTTTGGGTTTTTTTCCCCCATAACTCAGAAATTTTGGAAGGACTCCAGGCAATTCCTCTGTGCTGGAAGAAGCCCTTTGTCTCCTGGTTTTTTTGGTCACATCCCCTGTTAAGGCACATCCCAGGAGGGAGATCTGGAGTGAGTTTTGCTCTCACCTAGAGCTTTGTAGTGCTCCAGGATGGAGGCTCCTTCTCTCCTGGCAGGCAGCTCGGGGCGGTGGAAGTCCTGCAGCAGCAGCCGGCGGCTCCCTGACGAGGTGGAGATGTAATTAATCAGGCGGCCGCTGATGGTTTTGGACACCATGCTCAGCATGCTGATGTCCTTCACTGCAAAAGCAAAGCCCGGGACACTCCTAAATCCCCACTGCAAGGGAAAAATGGCAATGACTTCTTCTGCCTTCAGAAACGAGGCCAAGAAAGAAGATTTATAAATAAAACAGGAATTAATTGCTGTCGGTCTGCTTTGCCAGAGAGCTGGAGTAATTAGAAGCTGACAGATCTAAGGAATAATTTTCACATTTGATAGGCAAAAAAACGGCTTCAAGTAGATTGTGGTTATCACTAAAATATGTGAATTGTGAATATGTGAAAATATAAAATTGGGCGGTTGTTTTTTCTGTGATTAAAAAGCTGAAAATTCAGAGTTCAAGTCACACAAAATTACTTTAAGTACTTAAAATCGACGACATTTTAAACAATAACTGAAAAAGGGGTGGGGGAAATCGGCGGTAATATTTAGATATCGATGTTTCTGATGTTTTCTCACCTGAGAGATAATTCAGCACCATTTGGAAGATCTCTAAGGGAAGGGTTTGGAAATCCCCCAGCGCTGACAGAGCCTGGGAATCCCTGCCCGAGGTGAGGCCGGAGCGGCGGCTGCTCCTCCTCTGCTTCTGCCTGGGGACTGAGGTGCAGCTGCTCATTGTTTTGGTGTTCCCATAAATTACACCTGCAGAAAAGAAAAAAAATTAAATAACAACAAAAACCAGATTGAATTCTGATTTTCTGAGGAGGAAGAAGCTCCCAGAATGATGCTGAGAGGAAATGACTCCCTTGGAGAAACACAAAGTGAAAATCTCATCTGTGTGTGTGTGGGATAAACTGCTGGGGTTCAGCGCGGTGGAAGCAATTCTCTAAATAACTTTTAGTGCATAAAGAATAAAACGTGTTCTAGCTAAGAATTT